GCAGTTATGCTGAGAAACATAGAATGTATCTAAATTAAGAATAAAAAAGAATCCAGTGTTCATCAGTATAACTGTAAATTAAAAACCACTCCCACAACATGGTTGATACTGAGAGCAAGAGACTTGATCACCAAAAACATGTCCTGAATTTGTGTTCTGCACTTACTTTCTGGCTGCAATTTATGTTTTCTCTTTATCATTTATGATTTCAGAGCAATAATAATTTATATTATCAATAGTAGCTGCTTTTGTTGCTTTGTGTATCGATAGCTTTTATTCTAATGTTCTGTTAAAATACAAAGGTTTTCTATCATGCAATTGTAATGTATTTGGTGATTGTTATAATTACATATATACATACACAGCTATATATATCTATAGAGAGAGAAATATGTAAATAGATATGTATACAGACACATTTACTGTTTAAATTATTAAATCCAACATACTCAAATGCTGCTAGCTCATGAGCATTTCATAGATTATGGTTGGACAAATCAAAGATGACACTAAAGAACAGGCCTAATTTTACAGTGAAATATTAGTGATTTACTGTTATTTAAATGTATTCCCAACTGGTAAATGTTTTCACAACATTCTCTTTCTGCTTTTTTACATGGAAAATCACCCACAATGAACAAAGTACTCAGCAGTTTGCTGAACGTTAGGTATTTGTAATTAGAATGCACTTTCTTATTTAACACTAAATAGAATCCTCTCCCTCCTCCATCTCTACCTCCCACCCCCCAAAAAAATAAATAAAGCTTTTCTATACAATGTGAGCCGATCCCCTCCTGGGAATGAAAAGGATGTGAGAGTCATTTGATGAATTGTTGGAGCTTATTTGTGTCCACAATTTTCAATATAGTTTTTTTTTTTTTTTTTTTTCAAACTGGACTTAAGCTGCCTATATTTAAATGCTGCTTTTGTAAAGATGATAAAGAGAGCAAAGATTTCTATTGGCTTAGCCCTAATCTGTTTGCTTTGTTGCGATTCTTTTCTCTTTCTCCCTCTCTTTAACTGTTAACCTATTTATAAATCTAAATCTACGTACAAAGGTCATTGGTTGGCTGAACTTAAACCATTTTACTCAGTAAATTTAATTAAGAAAATACAGTGCAACTCATAAGCAAATGAGTTTTTTCCTAGTTTTAAACCAAACCACCCTCTTGAGTGCTGATTGCCTTGCCCGACCCCTGGTGATACAGAAACAGGCAAAATTAAAAAGGACATTAAAGCTTCATTAAATCTGAAACACATTTAGTACAGTGACATATCTGCAGGCCATTTCAGAGAAGATTACATACTCTCTTTTGTAAGTTTCCTAATTTATAATACCTTGACAATAAAAACTGAGGAAATGCAAGTAGATTAATAGACCAGTAGGAGTAAAAGATACAGAATGGCCCCGGGTTCATCTGTCTCTGAAATACTCACTCATAGCATATGTGCTCCCTCTTCCCCATAAGGGTACTGTGTTTATTTTGACTTTTGACAGCCTCATGAGGAATTTGTACTTCATGCAGCCATGTCTGCTAAGAGCTCTTTTCCTTTTTACCATCCCTTAATAGAACTTGATAAAGGGGTTCTAGGACCTGGCTATATCTTTCCTTCTACTTTGCCACAAGACAGTATAGGAAGCAAACACCACAGCTGCATTAGACCCAGAAAGATAGGAATATACATTAAGGGCCGCTCCCTCTCCCAAGTCCTTAAAGTGATTGCTTTGGGTGCCAGTTTAATAGTGCCACTGCCTGTTTTCACTGGTGTAGGATTAGAACCCCTGGCCCACTACTGGAGCAGCCCAATGATGATACTTTGTGAGAGAGGAGATGATTGTCATGGTGCTGTGGCAGTGGTGCCTACAAGTCAAAGGCAAGGAACTGTTCTCTGTCTTCTAACTCCAAAGAGGTCAGAGGTGTAAGATGTCTGAGAAGCAGTATTCCCAGGAGCATAGTTGACAGATAGGGCTGGGGTTCCACAGGACCCCAGGAAAGTGCACAGAAAACAAAGTCAGTCCCAGAATGATGAGTTCACAAGTTCCAGCATGCCACCTGTCCCCAAGCAGACTGGTACAGAGAAGCCCCTAGCCAAGCAGCCTGTACTGAATTTTCTCTCTTCCCTTACATGGCAGTATCTTAACAGAGTAAATGAATGGCACTGGCCATCCTTATTTACCTGGTGTCAGCTGTGCCAGAGTGCACCAAGTAGATGAATGTGCATTCCCAGTTCATCTGAGGCCTGGCTTCTCTGTAGAAGAAGGATGATAACTTGACAATCAGACACTTTGTGTTGAAGTAGGAAGAATTCACACACACACACACACACACACACACACACATCTCAAGCCTTCAATTCATTATTGTTTAATTCTTTAAACTTCAAAAACCAATGGCGAGTGGTAGAACCCACCACGCAGTTTAGATCTTAATTGTATGTGTGGTGGGCAAATAAACCCTGGGACGGAATTCTTCAGTAGCTCCTAATGCCATGTTCAGCATGCATCCAAGTGAACGGCACCACACCTGGAGAACAGCTTCAGAGAATAAACTGTTAGTCTTTTTAGGTAAGAAACCATCCTCCTAATGACTTTCTAACTCCAAATGGAAGTATTTGCAACACTCCTAATCCACAGATCAATGTGATGCTAGGCTTTTGGTGAGCTGTCACTACTGCCTGTAGGTCAGCACAGACTGGTGCAGACCCATAGTCCACCAATTACCACCTGATAGACCACAGTGATCCTCCTGAATCAATCCATGTGCGTACTCACGTTGGTCAGAAGCACAATGTATTTACGATATGTACACCAAAACTACTTATATTGGGAGGGGTAGGGCACCCGCCAGCCACTCCTCAGAAGGAAGATGGGGCAATCTACTTCTGTAGTGATACTGCCTTGGAAACCTAAGGAGGGGTCACTATGAGTTGGGTCCGACTCGACGGCACATAACAACAACAACAGGACAGAGGGAGTAGATGGGAGAGTTGACACCTCCCTTTTCCTAATTAATAACAGGTCACAGACAGCAAACATAATCTCACAAAACTGTGAAAGAAAGTTTGGTTAACATCTTCACTCTCTTTCCTTCACCCCACCTGGAGATGTTTTGGAGGGATTAACAATATCCACCAAATGGAACAATGATAATATAACTTATATCTTGAAAATCAATGAAGTCTGAGTACAAGGTAATGAATAAGTAGAAGATAATGAAAGTTATTAGGTGTAACAGCACACACACACATGTCCAAATGAGTGTTGGGGCTCTTAGAGTTCAAGATCATACGAAATTACTGTTCTCAAACTGGTTTTGGAACTTTCCAAATTAACCTCAAATCTTTACCTTTTGATTGTGGCTTTGGGTTTTGGCAATACTATAGTCCATTCGAACTTGTTGTTGTTGTTGTTGTTGTTGTTATGTGCCATCAAGTCAGATCTGACTCATAGCAACCCCTCCTTGGGTTTCCGAGGCAGTATCACTATGGAAGTAGATTGCCCAACCTTCCTTCCGAGGAGTGGTTGAACCGCCAGCCTTCTGGTTAGCAGTCAAGTGCCTTAGGTACTATGCCACCAGAGCTCCTCCATTCTAACTTAGTCTATAAAAAATTTACATGATCAACAAACTGAGGGGTATGGTTTTAAGTCCAAAAATAAGATGGAGTTCTAATAAGGTCATTCTTCTGTTACTTGGAATTCTTCTACACACAATTACATAAGAGGAATTAAAAACTGTTTTGAGCCGTGTCAGTATCTTTGGAATAAATATACAGCTTCTCAGGATCTAGAAAGGTAATGTGATATGCTGAAAAGAGTACCGGATTAAATCACAAGTCTCGGGTTCAGTCCCTCTATGACACTACTGGTAAACTGTGTGGAAACTCCTTCAGTGGGACTCAGGTTCTAACCTGTAAAGTGGGTTGATGGTCTCTTATATCCATTCCAGTTTAGTTTCCTGATGTTGTGACTCCACTTTCAAAGTAGTTACAAGTATATACAAAGGGTGTCAGGACTGAGGATGGGCCACATTATGAAACTGCAGATTTTTGCCACTATTTTCTTTAAATACATTATGGTGTGTTGGTTAAGTTTGACCTTATTACTTTATGGTAGTATAGTGGCTAAGGCACTTGACTGCTAACCAGAAGGCTGGCGGTTCAAACCCACCAGCCACTCCTCGGAAGGAAGGTTGGGCAATCCTACTTCTGTAGTGATACTGCCTCAGAAACCCAAGGAGGGGTCGCTAGGAGTCAGGGCTGACTTGACGGCACATAACGACAACAACATCAAGTAATACAATGTTCCTGATTGAATTCTGGTTTTTCAAGTGAGAACCCAAAGACCAAAATTCAACAACTGGCCTACAAACACATAGCAGTGTTCAAATCAAACTAAACCAAAGTTCTAAAGACTCCCAATTTCAGACTTGACCGACAGTACTGACTTAACTGTCTTGAAATGGCCATTTTCCCACTAACAGTGGTAGCTCTTTTCTTCTAACAAATGGATGAAAATAGTGGCATATTTTTCAATTTATATTATGACCTATCCCAAAATCCTGAAACTTTCCATGGGCACTTGTAACAAAAAACTACAGTGCTACAGGCCAGAAACAATTAGATGTTCCCATTTTATAAGTGGAAAAACCAACAGTCTCCTTCTACAGTTTTATGTCTCTGTCTAGAAGAAACTATCTCACATGTGTAAATGTAAATGATGCCTCTTGAGCTGAGAATATTCCTAAGAGAAATCATGTAAGGATAATTTTTAGTTGTTAAAATTAGAGCATTTTATCAGGGTTGTAACATTGTCCATTGAAAATGTCCATTCTAAATACAGCTCTTAATGTAATTACAGCAATAATTTAGTTCGTGCATTTGAGGTTGTGAGCCATTTTATATTTGCTGGATACAGTTCTGAAATTTAGTACTTGTCTGTCTTAAGGAGATCTGCCCTGCATGCAAATCTATAACTAGACAAATATTATTTCCTTTCCCAGCTTGCTCTTGGGAGGTTTCCATATCCTCAGGTAAGATTGTTCATTACTGCCGTTTGCCACTGTGACATTCATTCCTATGTATGAAGGTGCAGGGAGCAATTGTGAACATTTGAGCCACATACAAATAAATCTGTCCTGTTAAATTGAAAAGTGGTATCTTAAAGGAGTCATTTAGAAGTCTCTATTGATTTTTGATTTTTTTAAACTCCAGATTTTTTTCCTCTTTGTTAAAGGTTGAAAGCGATCACTGTGCTCTTTGTGTGACATTGGGGACGTTTTCCCTTACCCTGGCCCAGCATCATGTGCTCCTGTTGAGGCTGGAGGAGAGATGCATCCTTTTCCTGATACAGTCTCTGAGCTTTGGATTCAATTAAAATTATTTAAATTAAAGGATTAGGATGGATATGAAGAAAAATCTAATCTGGGTCATTGTTTTTGCTAAGCACATAGGCCCCCAATTTTATGTAAGTGTGATTTTGAACATACTCTTTTTTAAAATTTTGCTCATTCCCATCCACATTTCTAAGAAAACAAACTTTCCGTTTTATTAGCATTGCTGACTATAATCTTTGTAATTTCTTTAAGATTTTTATTATGGAAGGATGCTAGCACTTAAAATATAAAGCTATTTTGTGACTTGAAAATGATTTCCTAGTGTGGGTGGGGAAATAAGTAAAATGTCTAGGGGATGAAAAATGAATGGTTTGACTGTTTTCCTCTGGTTGATGCTCACTGTTTTTCTGGCATCTTGGTCTATACAGGCCAAAGTGCCTGGAGGCATGTCTGATTTAAAGGTGGTGTTGGTCTCTGCTCTTTAAGCATCTATTAACTTGCTATTATTATGCAAATAACTGTTATATTACACATACTAATTTATGCATGGTTAGATTATGCAGATGCATCACAAACATGGTTATTGAATAATAGAATGGGGCTCATTCTCTCTACCATCTTTATAAGCTGTTTTAAACAAATTCTCTTGGCACCCATGTGAACATTTAAAGACCCTTCATTCACTGAAATGTATCTTTTATGTGCTTTTTTTTTTTTTTTTTTTACAATTAAAGCTGTCAAATAAATGGAAGAGAAATTGTCCAACTTATTAGGTTCAAGAGTATTAGTCTCACTTTTCAAATTTGTAGGCTTCTTTGTTGTAATAGCTTGTAATAGCTTGACAGGCTCACTAGCATTTAGTGAGGTTTTAGTGTATACAGCCTTGCTGCTTAACTCTAGGTAGCCCATCAAATTAAAATCACATTTTCAGGATTTACAGCTCATTAGAATATTTATTTTAGTAAGCCTCTTATTCTGTCAGTAATTTTTAAACAATTCACTGTTTGGGCAATTTATGCAAACGCCTCAAATTTTGAAAATGAGCAGACTATATCTCCCAAACAATATACAGTCTATCTCTCAAACAAATCTTAGTCAAAAACTTGTAAGCTAATAAAGAATGCTAGAGTTTGAGGATGTAGCTGTATTCTTGAGATTGCTAATCTTTAGAGTAATTAGCCAGTGAGATTTGAGTGATGAGTCTAAGAAAGTGATTGCTGTTATATTTGACAAATGAAAACATTTGAAGGTTGCCAAATTTGGGGAAAAAAAATAATACCTTTGCAATGTCATTTTCATGAATGTCTAAGTATACATTTACTTGATCATTCAGGTGGAAATTGGAGAATTCTAATGTGCTGAACTCCCTAGTTAGCACTAACCTTTATGTCAGAGGTGGGGATGTTGGGGGGAGGCTGTTTTCCTTGCACCCTCAAAGAATGTTGTCACCAAATTGGGATTTTTATTTCAAATAGTAGAAGTAGTAGCTTTGATGTCATCAGGCGTATTTCCCAGATCTTTCAACAAAAGTTTGTGTGCTTCATTGCTAGATCCAGTAATGATTTTGGTGGGCTTGGCATTTATTTTACAGGCATTATCCTAGACTCTGTTGATACAGTGGTTAAAGTATTCAGCTGGTAACCAAAAGGCTGGCGGTTTAGACCCAGCAGCCACTCTGTGGGAGAAAGATGAGGCAATCTGCTTCCATAAAGATTTACAGCCTTGCAAACCCTGTGGGACAGTCTACTCTGTCCTATAGGGTCACTATGAGTCGGAATAAATTCGATGGCAGTGGGTTTGGTTTTTGGTTTTTTGGGTACTATAGAGTGAGGCATGGGAAAGGATACTTTATACATTCCTTTCCTGCCCTTTCCCTCTCTCCTCAGAAAAAAGCACATAGAGAAGAATGTATATTTTTATCCTGAACTTTAGACTGAATTATGAAATACCTTCTCACTGGTCCATATCATCTCATTTGAACACCCTGACATATTGTGAAGTAAGCTTCCCCTCGTAAATGGGCAGACAGAGTGACTGATTAGCTCATGTTGAACTGTGGCTGGTTTGGTTCCATTGAAATCCCGAGTGGAGTAGGCAGGAGTGAATCATAGACTCTCAGGGTTGGAAGGAATCTCAGGTATCATTGAATCAAACCTACCTATGATATCCCTGAAAAATGAACATCCACACTCTACTTAAACACCGCCAGTGACAAGAAACTCATTAGTGCCCAAAGCAACCAGAGCATTAGAGTAATGTTCTGTTCTATTCACTGAGCTGGGTACTGCCCCATCCTAATTACCAGCTAGTACTAGTCTTGTCCTTGAGTACATGGAAACTGTTCATATATCCTTCAGATCACATACTTTTGAATCCCTCCAGTAGCAGGGCTGAGGACAGTGCCAGCACATTGTTGGCTCTGAACTCAAAGTCAGAATGAGGGGACCAGGTCTGAGGTCTCTTCATTAGTGGCAAGTTGAGAAGAAGCACGACCCATTGAAAAGAACCCTGGACCAAGAGCCTAAAGATTGGAATTTGAACCCCACTGTCCCACAAACTCTCTGGTCACCTCAAGCCTTAATTCTTGCTTCTTAACCCTTTAGTGGGAGCTCTGGTGATGTAGTGCCTAAGTCATTTGACTGCTAATCAGAGGGCTGGCAGTTCAAATCTATCAGCCACTCCTCAGAAGGAAGATCAGGCAATCTACTTCCATAGTGATACCGCCTCGAAAACCCAAGGAGGGGTTACTATGAGTCAGATCTGACTCAACGGCAGTGAGAGAGAGAGAGAATACCCTTTTGTGACCCATGAGACATATACTCACTGCCGTCGAGTCAGATCCAACTGATAGTGACCCTGCCTTTTTTCAGCCTCTTAAGTTTCTTGGGAAGCTCCTATCCCACTTGTAGTGCATGCTCCCACCTGGCAGTAACCTGTATAATTGCATGAATATGGAGAAACAGGCCTCATCCCACCAATCCTATCATGAGAGTCCACTTGGGACATATGTGTCCCACATACTGTATCAAAATCCATATTAGCTAAAAATTTTTTTTTCTTCATTTCAGTGTGCCTTCCATTGCTGAAACATAATGGTATCATCAAAATATTCAAAGCAAAAAATAATTCAGTAATGAAAGGATTAACTTCTCAAGCTCTCAATTTCCTCATTTCTGAAATGAGGATCCTGATGCCTACCATCTCTCTATCTGATTAGATGAGGTATGCAGATCAAATGAGATTATGGATATGAAACTACTTGGATAAGTACAAAGAGCCACTCCACTGACCCTGATGTTGAACTGTAGCACAAATCAGAATTTCCAACTGACAGCCAAAGGGAGGGAGCCTTTTCAAAAGGTTGTGCTCACCAACCTGCCAGCTGCCAATGGAGCAGAGCAGAAAGTGAACAGAAAGAGCCGGGAGGAGAGTCCAGCTTCAATACTCATCCTTTCCCTAGCACAACATCAGTGCTGCTGACAGCATCGTTAGCAACACCTCTTCCTGCCGGTGACACAGTATGTATCGGGTGGAAGTGTAGAGTGGGGGTGTTGGGAAGATAATAGGGAGAGTCAGTGGCCCAGGACCAACATAAAGGTTAAAGGGCTAAGTTTTTTGTTGAGATAATCATTCCATATGAATTTCATTGTTTTACAGGTTGGGTTTTTCTTTGTTATGTGAAAGAACGATCCATTTTTGTTTCCTTTAAGGCTTTAAGGTTGCAAAGCCTCATTGGCATGCAGTTTAAGACTCTTTTAAAAATTAAAAAGGTTAGGAGCCACTATACACTATACATGTGCAGTCTTATTACCATGGCTTATATTATAATAAGAAGAACAGTGATGTCTTGGATTCATCTGGCACCTTTCCTACATAAAGCTCCAGAGTGCTTTCACTTCAGTTTTCTGACCCAGGCTTTCCGTCCCACCTGCACCAACTATGATATCCTGGCTCCAGGTGAGCAGACTGAGGCACAGAGAGGAGCAGCCCCTTGCCTCAGGGAGATGTGGGTTCAGTTAAGTCTAGGGCTTGCAGGCAACTACACCAAATGACTGTCCCGATGTATTCTTAATTTGATTGACTCTTTGTGTCAATAATGCTCACCTTCCCTCGCAGCCCCACCAGCCTTTTTCATTTGCCTTCTCTGCCCTGGGGAGGCCTCTTGTGTAGATGAGCAGTGCTGAGTGTCTGAAGCCCGTGCCATCGTAGATGATAAGACCATTTCCTAGAATCCTTCTGATTTTCTCACCATGTATGTAGCAGAGTGACACACGAGGATCCTGAGGAGCCCAAGCTCTCCCTGACCCCGACGCCATTAAATTCTTGGTGATTGTAAAGCATCTTCTGAAATGGGACAAGAAAAGTTGTCTTTTTAAACATCTTGCAGATAGTGTCTCCATTTCTTGAACAATTTAGCTTTAATAATAATCTGAGAAGATGTGCAGGACTGGACTCAGACTGGAGCTGTGTCTGATTAATCATGTATCCAAATTCAGTTGACTTAAAAAGCATGATGGTGGGCAATGGCTTGTTTAATGATACCCTAATTTAGGCGAAATGAAAAGGATTGCCTGCTAAAAATTGCCGTCCTTCATTCAAACTTTACAGCAGTGCACTGCATTAGTATGATAGTAAATCCATTAAGGAGACTTCTCAGGGGATGTGCCAGCTCTGGTATTTGGAAATGTGGTAAGCGA